GAGACTTTAGATTCTTTAGATCCCAAAGCATGAAAATGGCAAACAATTTGTGAAGTTACACAGCTCCCAGACTACAAGGACAGAAAGACAGGAACCTACAGCAGGGTACCTCTATCTGGTAGGAAAAGCTGAGAAAAAGAAATCCATTTTAGACAGAAACAGAATAAGAGCTGACACTGAAGACCTTCTCCCAAGACTGGGCTCAAGATAAAATGCAACATAGATGGATAAGCTGGTAATTTATCTAAGTTCAGAAATCTCAGAGCTAGATATCAAGTCTGTCTTACAGCAAGAAACACCCAAAAAGAACTAAGTGACCCTGGCTCTCCTAGCTGGAGAGCACCAAACCAGCCTGCCAATCAGACTGAGTTAGCACTCGCTCAATGTAAGTAATTCAATATTGTAAGACTGAGGATCAGTTAGTTTCTGCTGCGCTCACAATCCTTCAGCCTTTCTCTTGTTCCACACTTGAAAGCAACACCCCCCAAAAAAAGTCACTTAATCACATGCCCTCTGAAGGCCAAGTGGATCATACTTTTAAAAAGTGACCTGCTTTGGTGACCTTGAAATAAACTCAATTTCCATGGCCTACAGGACAAAGTCTGATCACACCTCAGATCAGAGATCATATGAAGTTTCAACTACTACAAACAAGAGGATAGACTCTTCCTTTCTCACCCCTGAGCTTCTCTACTACCTCCACTGAACAATGCAGAGCACGATGAACTTATACTCCCAAATGAGAAGAAAATATCCCAGAACCATTTCAATTTATTCTTCACATGAGAATCTTTTATGGTTAACCCTCCCATCCACATTCTAATCTAGAGCCCTTTTTCTATATCCAAGATAATTATTTTTTCTTTCAAGTATCTGCTGGGATGTGAGGGGGCACATATGCCAAGAGGGGCTATGTTCCAAGCAAAGTTTCCAACTTCAGATAAACTACCTGCAATATTTTACTAATGAATACATATACAGACAGTACTTCTAAAAATACGCATTTGCTGAAGCCTTTGTTGCCAGCGGCAGGCTGAAATGATCCTGAAATAGCCGCACTGGCTTTGTAACATACATTGGAGGCTCCAAGACATTATGTATAGCTTTTCTAGAATTAAATTTTCCTGTATTTTCAAAATCAGAGGCTTTTAATACTCATCTTTTCATCCCTTCTGTGTAAAAATTTGGATGACAAATTGTCTGATTTAACCCCAGGGGGCAACTAAGCACCACACAGCCACTCGCTCACTCCCCCCTGGTGGGAAGGGAACGAGAATAAGAAGGGTAAAAGTGAGGAAACTCGTGATTGAGATGAAGACAGTTCAATAGGTAAAGCAAAAGCCACGCACACAAGCAAAGCAAAACAAGGCATTCATTCCCTACTTCCCATCAGCAGGCAGCGTTCAGCCATCTCCAGGAAAGCAGGGCTCCACCATGCATAATGGTTACTTAGGAAGACAAAACGCCATCACTCCGAATGTCCCCCCCATCCTCCTTCTTCCCCCAGCTTTACATGGTGAGCATGACGTCATATGGTATGGCATATCCCTTGGGTCAGCCGGGGTCAGCTGCCCTGGCTGTGTCCCCTCCCAGCTTCCTGTGCACCCCCAGCCTACTCACTGGTGGGGTGGTGTGAGAGGCAGAAACGGCCTTGACTCTGCGTAAGCACTGCCAGAGCAGTTACTGAATTATCAACACAAACCCAAAACATAGACCCATACTAGCTACTACGAAGAAAATTAATCTATCTATCCCAGCCAAAACCCGCACATAAGTATGAGGCCAACTGACACGTAAGTGCTGTTAGCTAAAACTGAGAAAGCAAGCCTCATTTACCAAAAGGTGAACAATTTAAGAAGTCATTTGAAAGCCACCTCATTATTTTTCTTTGTTTGTTTTTTTAAACCAGGATTTTTGTGGTTGTTTTACTTTCTATCTACACAGGAAAAAGCTGCACAAAGCCTAGGAGAGGACAGTCACAGATGCCAGAGGAAGGGAAGATTTAAAGGGAAAAAACACACCCAGTTTACTATGAAAGGCAGAGGAGTTAAAATGAAAAGGAGGTACCTCTGAGATCTGGTTAAGCTAATAAGATTCCAGATAGAGCAGCTGAAATTTCACACAAGAGGCATTCGCACATGAATGTCTGTGAGGAACTGCAAAATCAAGCTGAAGTACAAAACCAGTATATTCAAAAAGCTTCAAGGTGAAAATAAATGGAAGTGTGACAATGACTTAAGAAACAAGCAAAAGCAAGCAGTCGATCTCTTACTTGCTCAAGGTGATTACAGACTAAAATGTGCTGCCACTTTAAGGGGGAGAGCCAGAGAACAGTGGGATCAATAAGAAAAAAGCAAGTGAGTTTAGAAGACAAGATTAAGTGAAATCTGAGGAAGGTGCAGAGAAGGACAGCAGTGGAAAACCTTCTGCATCTTTGGTAGCGGAAAAGCAGAAAGTTGGAGGTACTGGGGAAGAGTCAAGACCGATTTTCATGGAAAAGGCAACAACAAAAATGCAATAGGAAAGTGATTTGAGGAGTGGATCAATGTTTGCATAAAAATAGTTAGGTTTTTATGAAAAGGATTCCGTTAAAATAGTAACATAGATCTGCTTAACACAGAGGAAGACAACACTTCTCGGAAGGGAGAATGAACATGTCCTGAAACAGCCACTCCTATGAATATTGCCAGTCATGCTGCCTAGTGTGAAAACAGGAGTAAAGTGCACGCTAGGTCAAGCCAAGGCTGGAGGTTAACAAAGTAAGCCCTGTAGTTAGAGGGAGGAGGAAAAGAAAGCAAGACAGGGAATTAACTATATCAGTGGGAAAAAAACCAGCTGGGCAGAGACAGAGAGAGATAACTAATAGTAAACAAGACTTCAACAGTTACTGGACTGGAAGCTGAGAGAGAGCTAAGTAACAAGGCAGGAAGGCCAAAACCGGTGAGCAGCACTGAGTGAGAAAATGAGATAGAAAAAGCACATCCAGTAAGTGACAGAAACGTTTGTTACAGAAAAAGTAAAGCTAACAGTCCCACTGGCAAATGCAAAATACCAACTCAAACTTTACAATTAATACCCAACTCTTTGGTTTTACTTTTTGAGCCAAACAGTTCCTCCTGCTTTCAAATGTCCATTTAAACTAGTCAGTCTCCTACATAAATTGATAACCTAGTAGAGATGAAAATATTAAGTTTGTTTTGGAAAGGATACTTTTCTTGAAAAGCATGAAGATGCTTAAAGAAACCAAGATTTTCATTTCTACTTCATGCAAAACGTGTCATAATGACACTCAGGTGCAGCTGTGGAACATGCCACTTGCAACACTTACATAGACTAGCTCAGCTGGGTATTGGAAACTATTCCTGATAGAATGACCCAACACCACAATGTTCCAATGAGACAACACAATTAAACCTTTGTACACATTATTGTTTTATGTGCTAATATTCCAATAAAAAAAACAAATTAAATGGTTGTAAAGAGACAATAATAAAAGTATAAGCAAAATTGCACTTATATGATGTTAATGTCTTTTTCTAGAGTAATACAATTTCTAAATCCAATCTTTCTCATTTTTTCCATGCTCAGGATCATATGGAAATTCAGTCTTCGATAATTAGTCTCAATTTGTATATTTAAATAAATACTGATTTAAAAAACACGGAGTTTTTGCTAGATGATAATACATTTAATAAGATCCAATAAATACTTAAATCTACTTACTAGCAATTTGTTGGGTTTTTTCTTTTTAATCCCAGCCATACCAAACATATATCCAGCAGAAATCTCAATTTTGTTGAGCTTGCTTTTTTGTAAGTTTCAGGTTAACACTTATTTTAGAGGACCAGGATCAGAATAGATATGAGACAGTATTTCTTGCCATTTTAGACAGCTGAATAATGACTAAAGACACATGCAGTCTACAGCACAGCAAATTTCAAGACACAGTGGAAAGCACAGGTTAAAAGAGCTGAGAGTACAGAACCCAGTTTGGTATGGTTGTAAAAACTCTGTACTCAGAAAGATGATGGAAAAGGCACAGACCTTAGACCAAAAAAAAATATTTTTCCACATGTAATATATAAATGGGGAGGGGAGCAAACGAGGCAGTTGCGACATCCGAAAAGTATGTATATAAGCATTAGCATAGGAAGCGCCATACACAACTAAATTTCTTCTCTGTCAGTTCCAGTGTCCCTACTTCTTAGAGTTTGGGCATAATTTCTAGCTCAATATTTCCTTTCTGTATGGCTTACTATTAGTTTCAGTCTTCAAAGTCAGCAAGAATGCATGTGAGCAAGAAGTGTACCTATTTTTAAACTTGAGCAATGAAAGATTAAGACAGAGGAGTGTGCAGGTTCATCAGGAATATTTATTCATTGAAATGCTGCCACAACCTTTCACTATTCAGTATCAGCTAAGTATTAGAAATGGTTTCATCTCCAATGCTACACTTGGTAGAACAAACACAGTTCAGTAGAGTAAGTAATCAAAAGTTTCCCAGCAATTAACAACACCTAACAGCTTTTGGCTCCTCCTAACAGTTTGAAATCCAAATTAACATACATTTTTTAAAAGAAACCTGAAACAACTGCAGAGAGTAAGCTTGATACAGTGGTTGTTTTAGAACCCTGTATACTGGCTGATGATCCAAAAATAAGAGTAGTATTGACTTCAAATAAGATGCTGAACATAACTCCAGTTGCACTATACATTTTCTGAACTGAGTGACTGCAGCAGGAGACCCAGCTGTGCAATTTGCTGATACACAAAACCAAGTTTTGGAAATGCCAGTTAAATAATATTATGACTGTGCATTTATAATAAATGTATACACATTTCACCTTATCTTCCTACAGTAGAGATGATTATCTTAAGATGGGAAAACAGAAGTTTTACATAACTGACAACTCATTCATTAGCAAAAAGTTCATAGCAATACTGAAAAGCTGATTTTTGTTTAAACACCAAGCAAGCATGGACATATGAATATTCCTAACCTGTAAAATGATTCCTCCACATTATATCAGCGAAACTCATTGGTGGGCCACTGGGAGGGTAGTGTTTACCTTTCAGAGGCTCATGATCAGTCCTTATCATATCCATTAAGGAATTTTCCAAAGAGTGCAAGTTAAAAGTGTCATAGGGCCTATTCCGGTCCTAGAAGGAAAAAAAAAAAAAAAAGGAAAGAAAGACTGTTATAGAAAAAATCATTTTCTAACACAGGCTCATTTCTTATTTTATAAAACTCCACCATCCAATTCTACATTTCTTCTTGATAGAATTTTTTATATCACAAAAAAATTGATAAATATAAGCCCACAGTTGTTAAATGATAACCTTCATTTTGCAACTGCTGCTTTCACCAGTACAGCTATGCAGAGACGTTTTTTAATGCTTCTAAAAATATATATGCAAACAATAGTTAATTTGAATTATAATTTTTGAATAATAACTTAGAAACAAAGAAATATTAATGTTTCCACCAGAGAAGTGAAATTGTTTCAGAGTTCAGAGATTTTTGTTTTACAGCTTCTTAGTCTGCTGTCTGTCACAGTGCTACCTTAACATCAGAGCAGAAGCAAGCAACGCTCAAGATGCCAGCAAGCACATTTGTTCCAGAATGTACCAAGGAATTCTTCAAATGTCTAACATGAATCTCACAGATTTAAGAAAAGTACACTAGATGCAAGACAAAACAAAAAGCAAGACAGGATATCCAACACTTTCAGACTAGGACACTCAAAAACCTGAGCAAGGGTTGTTTTGTATTGTTTGAATCTCATTTTTAATTCGCTGTAGTTCAGCTTCTGTTTTTTAAGTAAGTAAAAGGGAAAAGGAAAAAAAAAAAAGAAAAAAACCCCCCACAAAACAGTCCCCTTGTTGTAGTCAGGCAGTTTCTAAAAAACATTAATTTTGTTATTCCCATCACTATCATTAAAAGAAAGTAAAGCACAAGTATGTAAAAGATAGCAGTTTTTCTTTGTACACTATATTATGCTACAATTAATAAAGAGTGGTATAACATTGTACTGTGCAAACGGAAACCTTCATTGTAATATGCACCCAAAATTCCTGGAACAATGTTTTCCACATGCTGGTTACTTCAAGATAATCTTCTTGCTTGAAAGAGTAAAATTTAAAATCCTTAGACAAGAAGTATCCATAGAAAATGTAACACAAGTTTTGTCTTAATAAGTATTATTTCTCTTGAACCCTCTTTTTCTTAGGTTGTCTTTAAATAAAAGTAAAGGAGAGAATGAGTTTACTGGTATCATTAAGCATTCTTTTAATATTCCTGTTCTGGAATTCAATAAATACACGTGTTATTAAAAGTTTGCTGTTACAGAAAGCTCTGAAATACAGCTCCTCTTACTGCAAAAAAATCTCATGTTCCCAACAGTCTGCCTACTCTACACTGAAGATCCAAGTTCCCTTCTCCAACATGCTAATTTTATATTTGCTGCAAGTGGACTAGCATTATTTTCTTCCCACATTTATTTCATCTATTGAGCATTTTTTGGCAGTCAAACATGATGTCCAAGGAATAATACTTGATTTCTGTTAGAAACTATACTAAGCACTGAAGTTCAAATGAGCTCACTGATTTTCAGTTTTCATTGTTGATGATTTTTATGTCTTCTACAGCTGCTTAGAATGCCAGCATTTGTATACTGTATTTAAAAGAGTACTTGTTCACCTATACAAGTGGATCAATATATATGGAATATAAAATAATTTATGCCCAGGAAATCTAAAATAGATCTTGGAAAAGAACCCCCACAACAACAACAAAACCAAACCAAAAACCAAAACCCTGAGGTAATTTTTCTTCCTAACAGAAAAATTTATTTTGGTTAAAATATCCCACTGCTTGGTAATATGTAGTAGGAGAGAAGAGTTTATTTATTTCTTATTCACTTTCTTAGAAGAAATGCAAGGCTAGATTGAAAAGAACAAGTGTAACTTGGATGTAAAAAAAATTCCATTCTTGTGATATATTAGTAACTTGATTAAATAGGATCTATATTATTCCTTCAAAGCAAGCATTCTGGTTGTCATCTGCTTTTTGTTTCTTTTAAATACCTGTACTGTGAATATGTAAGTAGGTCAGGTGTTACAGTACTGAAGTATGACATCTTTTTGAAGAGAAAATATGAAAGCAAACAGACAGCTTATATCCTAAATAGGGGTGGGGAAGTATTTTTCACAGTCAGACCAGTCCCCTGATCTGGTTTACTATACAGCTGTAGCAGAGCTGAGCTGGCAAAACCAACACTGGCAAGAGAGCAAAAGGGCAGGACTGCGTTTGCCACAATGATAGTTTATTCCAGCTTTAAACATTCCTGAGATTACAGTCTTAGAGGCCGGAAGGAGTGAGTTCAGAAGAGGATACAGCCTACAGATTTAATCTAATTGTCCTTTATTAACATATGTATGTTATATTTTAAGTGTGCTACTATAGCAGCAAATCCCTGGGAGGTCCTACTTTGTTCTAAAACTTCCCAAAGAGCTGTTTCACATGGATGCATTTGAAAAAAGGAGAGAAAAAAATCATAGCATCAAAGGCAAGGCTATACAGGGCAGGTCTGCTAATGTGTAGGATCTTTCTAACCTTTTAAGGGGTGTACAAACCTGCAATATATTTTTAAGATGAAATTAGGCCTACCTTGGACACAGGAATATCAACGTAATCAAAACCCTTTACCTAGGCAATTGTAAGACTTCCCACTATAGTATTTGAGCAAGCTAAATCAAGTAAAGGAAATTTAGACACAACGGATTTTTATGAGTATGTTGTAGCATGTGCATAAGTGTAACACATGCTGACTACAGATTTTTGTCATATGGATGATAAAACATCAGCCAGGGTTAACATTCTAGCTCCTAAATAACAGAGCTACTACCACTTTTCTTAGTAGCTTTCATTTCAGTAGTAACTTAGCTCAGTTGGTTAGAACACGGTGCTAATAATGCCAAGTTCACAGGTTCAATCCCTGCTTACTGCAGGGGGGGTTGGGCTCGATGATCTCTCAAGGTCCCTTCCAACCCAAAGCATTCTATGATTTGAAGATTGTTTCCTAAATTCACCAATTTCTTCCAAGAAGCCTGGTGCTTCTGCACACACAGGCACAGGATGGTGTTTCCTTATTTCTCAGCATGAACAGGTTCTCCTGGTTTTGTGAGCTGATACTGTTCCATCTCCCAGATTTGACTTTTGCATTGTTTCTACAGGCTACCTATCTACTGCCAAACAATCCCAACAATGGAAACAATTCATAAAGGTCCTTAGTAGCACATGAGAACTTTGCAAGGAGGTTCTGGGAGTAGCATCATGAATGGCAATCGAAATATAAACTACAGAATGATAAAGCAGAATAAAAAACTTTGAAAAGCAGTTTGAAAATCCAGCAAGTCCAGAAAATCTGCGGGGATCTTCTAGAGAAGACAAAGATCCTAAGACCTACTTAGATAAACTACATTACGGATAAAAGAGAAATTTCCAGCTACAAGGAACTGCCTTTTACTATGCAGCAATCATTAAGTTAACAAAAGATTAAGTCCAGCCTGCTCACGCTGGATTGGTACAGACAGCAGCTCCTTCCTCGTTAGCTTCTAGTGTGCATGGCAGCGTATTTCAGTTCTTACAATAGTTTAGTCTTGAAAGAAAGAAAAACAGCTTAGTAATAACAACTATTAGAGAAGATATGCGTCCCAGAACTTAAAATCCCAGCTCTTGGCTGTTATCTATACATTCATCCATGACACAGACTTCCTCAAAGTGTATTATGTTAAGCATAGTGAAAAACTACAAATGCATATGCAGGATCAGATTTCTGAAGGATCACAAAGTAAAACGGACCTCCAGTTGAAGTTGGGCCTCAACTTTCTACCTTTAAATATCTTACTTGTAAGGCTGATTAAAAATATCACAAAATATAGTGTCTGTAATCTGTCTGTTAATTTAAAAAACAAAAAAACAAACAGTAACTTTGCCAAAAAATAACTGCAGAGTCAAGACACTAAAATAAAATGAGAAAATACAATAATTTGCATTTTACCTGGATTTTACACTTTTGTGCCTATCTATTATGCTAGTCTTTAATTACACAACCATAACAATTTTTCAGAGGTCTCCAGTCCCCATCCAATACGCATAATGAACCCGCTCCAGGAGTGAATCAAAACAGTGCTTTGAAGAGGTCTGTTTGTCTCTAGGACAGATGCCTGTTGTTTATTCCAGGGTTACACCAGGCTGAGGTGTAGTGAGCCTGTCAGCAAATTCCAGGAGTGGAAAGGACATTCTTTAAGTTAAGGGTTACCTTAATTATGAAAGAAAGATTACCTAGCAGTACCTGAAGTATGTAATTGACATGTATGTGTATCGTCTGAAATCAAAAGAACTTTTTCCCTTTGTCATACCCTGTAATGTGGTGTGCTTTGTCCTGCCCCTTCAGACTCAGAGCATGGGCATGTAAGGGCAAGGCATACCTAGCACTACTTCAGTTCCCTCCCAACAGATACACAAACCATGTCTTTACTGGTAAGAGGGAAAGGTAAAGAATGAGAAAAGAATATATGATTACATTATGGATGACAAAGCCAAGACTAGATCTATAGCTGGGCCCATAATTAGTGTTAAATGGACCTTAATACAGCCTGGCTTCCTTACTACCTCTTTCAGCTTGACCAGGTAGTCTGAAGTAATTGGAACTAACAAACTAAAAAAGGAAACGACCAACATATCCCATGGCAGAGACATGGAGAACATGCACCTTGCTCCAGAAACTGAAGCTGTATCTTTTTCTTCTGTCTCTGCAGAGGATTATGGCAGTGGAGACACTTGACCGTTAATTGATTAAACTACAGTCACAAAGTGAAAAGTTTTACCCTGAGAAGGCATGTCAGGAATCTAACACGTTGCCCAAGCCTAGCTATCATCCATACTCAAAATCCTTAACCATGTATTTATGCATGTGTTGAATCCTTGTTGGCATGGGCATCTGCATCTGTAGCATACAATAGACATTGAGCTGAGAGATACACCTGATCTGCCTATTTTTTAGTATGCAAGCAGCAAAACCTCAGGTACCTAGACCCTTCCAAAGATACATTTCCCTGTGTCCATATATTTCAGACCAGCTGCTAACTAACTTCCT